ATTGAAATATTTGGAAAGGCTATCGTATATACACGGCATCTCAACTATCATGCAGCATGACCTAAAAAATTACCGTATTTACTCGCGTAATGATCGCACTCTCATAATACCCTAATTTCAGTCATCCAAATTTGGATATTTTTTTTCCCCCCGCGTAATAAACGCAACCCCTACATTCATCCGCTGCAGTCTCGTTAACCGACACATGGTGTCTCCTCACCCATTGGATCTCTTCCGTTTTTTATTACTTTTCCAAACCCCATAACCACTTCGGCTGGCTCCCTCCTTCCCTCTCACCCAGTGCTGTGTGCCGTGCCCTATTGCTTTTTTTTCTATCTGTAATAAACGCATCCCCTACATTGATTCGCTTCAGTCCCGCTAGCCGACACCTGGGGCTTCCGGTTGGCTCTCTTCTGTTTTTTATTACTTCGCCGAACCCCCTCAACCACCTCGCTCGCTCCCTCTCTCCCCTCACCTGTTGCAGCATGCCTATTGCATTTCTGTCTGCGGCACCTCGCCCTCCCCCATTTTATCTGTGCCCCACTGCAGGGTTCAAGTTCAAGAGGGTCGTGAGTGTAGACATTGCAGCTATTGATAAGCACACTGACAGCCAAGTCACCAAATTGTCTGCGCCAACCGACTGAGTTCCTTCCTGTGAACCCCCTTTCCCCCTTTCTTTTTTTAGCCTAGCTTTTTTTTTTTTTTTTTCCACCAACTGTCCCTTTATTCTCCCTTCCCTGTTGAGTGCATGTTTTGGGCATCCCTCGAGATTACAATCAGATACCACTGTTGCAGTTAAATGGTTGCGAGAAAAGATAGTCGCAAAGCATTTTTATGGCTTTGCAGAAGATAGTGCCATCAACCACCAAAGATGAGTAAAGTGCAACAATGAAGCTGTTTTAAACAGTGTACGCGTATGTAAATTTCCAAGGGCTAAGTGACCAAATTTTTTTTTTTTTGCATTACCGCATTTTTTTCTTCTCCCGGAAAAGGTATCGTAAAGTTTACCCCGCGTTAGAAACGCTCCCCTCAACTTTGCTCTGATTTTTCTAGGAAAAAAGTGCGTTCATTACTTGAGTAAATACAGTAAGTATGGTGTTATGCAAAGCATATTTAGTGCATATTGTTTCCAGTATACTGAAGTAGCTGCTACTAATTTTTTCCCAATGACTAATAACTAATTAGTCATAATTATATTTAACTCAGGCAGTACTTTCCCAATTATCAAAATGTCAATGAGAAATATGTGCCCATATTGAAATGACGTCTGTGCTGCTTCCAACAACGTATTAATTGCATGCTCATTTTTCTCTGTAGATAAAGAAAACCCACGAAATATAAAAATACAAGACTGCACTCACACCCACAAAAGGATGGAGTGCCGTCAAATAAGCTTACTGGAAGCAACCACTTTGCCTCTTTTTTCATTGCCAGAGACAGTACATTGCACATTGGCAAAAGTACAGGTCGGGTGCCAACTAGTGTCACAGTTTTGCAGGGATTCCTTTCACTTGCTTGTACGTCGCTATCATGATTCATGTTTCAAGGACAACTGTTTTCATTGATAACGCAGTTTGATCACTGTTCTGATTACGATTGGCAGCCTGACTGTGTCAGAGACGTTTCTTCGGACAGGAAGTGGCACATAGCGGGATCCGTATTTTTTCTTTCTACATTTCCTTTATTGCTACTGGCTATCTCAAAGTGAGCTTGTTTGAGGGCACTTCTTTCTGATGCGTGCAGAGGTCTAGTCATGTGCTATTTTTCGTATTTTGCAAGCTTTGTTTATTTACAGGGGAAAATGAGCATGCAATAGTACATTGTTGAAAGTAGCACAGACAGATGTCGTTTCAACATGTGCACATCTGCCTCATTGTCACTTTGATAATTAGGCAAGTACTTTTTGAGTTACAAATATGATTATGACTAAATAAATAATTGTCATTAACAAAAAAATTAGTAGTGGCTTCTAGAGTACAATGGGAAGAATATGCACTAGCTTTGCTTCGTGTAACGCCATTCCTCTTTTTATAAATCGCACTACATGATAATTGGGATGCCCTGTATATGTGTATATGGGGTATGTGTAGACATATATACTTTATTAAGTGGACGGCAGGATAGCTGCCACAGTAGCTCAATTGATAAAGTATTGGATGCATTATTCATAGTTTGCAGGTTTGGTTTCTGGCCATTGCAAGTTACTTTTTCGTCCACTTTTTTTTCTTTGCATTTACACTACATTTACTGCTAACAACATCCTCGACACTTTTCTTGGCATTATTATCTCTTAGTTCTCATTAATATTTTGTTCAGGCCTATGTGTTTCTTCTTCTATAAAACAAATATGAAGCGTCTTCTATAAAACAAATATGAAGCGTGTTCTTGTGGCATTAAATTATTTGCCACTTTCTTAGCCAAAGACGGCTGAGTGAATGGTTCTTTCATATCTATCATAAATGGATCTGGCAGTCGCCATGATACACTCATGCTGTTGGCAGCAATGTAGCGATTTCTTCACACTATTAAAATATGTATGTGTCATTGCTGTGACCCACGCCAAATGAGTCCAACCTGGAACAGAAATATGCTGGCTTTATAAATATTCAGGGGCCCTTTGATGACAATAATGTCTGCAAACCTTCACTTTAGTGTCAGCCTATAAAAAGCTTAAAGCAAAAGACGATGCTTTATTGCAGGTATTTTTTCTCCTCTCAATAAATTTTATAAATCTATCACTAAAATTGGCAGCAGAAGAAAGCTCAGAGCATGGAAAACTTCTGATGTTTGGCATTACAGGAAAAGAAGTGTGACTAAAGAGAAAGATGTGGTTGTGGTTTAAATATGTTATCTACTTCTTTAGCTTCAATATTGAAGAAGGTAAAGAGGAGTGTCACTTCCAGATACTGGTTAGTATAGGTTTGGAAAGTCTTTGTTAACCTCCTTGGCCCTGCTTACCAATATATGGAAGCTTGGTTCACTGACAGGAAAGCATGTTATGATAGGGGTGGATCCCATTGGGGATTTTTGTCCGTTTGCATTATGTGTTTGTTTATAAGTAATCCAGGGGTGGAAGTGCTGTGCCAATTGCGCCATGCTGTGTCAATCTGACCTGATGCTGTGTTCGGTGACGGTGAGGCAAGTTTTTTACTGTATGAACTCAAAAAAAAAAAAAAAAAAATCAGTGTCACCTGTAAAGCGATGGCTGCAATAGCACCAATTTGTGACATAATGATGATGTCACACACTCTCCTTTCTCTCTATTTTTGTTACTACACCATCACGCATGTCTTGCGCAAACCGCACCCCAATGACTGGGGACTATGTACATAATCTTGGAAACGTCCGATAAGCTTACGCGCACAATGAGTATATTACAGCTTGCTCTAGAACTTGCGCCGCCACTAGCGATAACGCAGGAATCTTTGATGGCACTTGTATAAATGCCACCGCATTTTGCTGCGTGGCAAAATATTGACGGCCGATGCTCTGTTTTTCGCTAGCTGCTATCAGTGTACAGCGTGTATTGCTTGTAGAGTGACTTTTTGTTTTCCGGGCACAAGTACTAAAAGGTGCACTCATGCAAACAGAGGCTGCTTCTCGTCCTTCATGACCCCATGACAATACAAAGTCTGACAGCGAACTCTTTTGGATCCGACATCGTGACACTCACAAATACAAAACGCTGGTGTAAGAGAATAAGTACGTCCGCTCCAGGGGGAAAATGCTCTTATCGCACAATCTCTTCTTGTTGAGAGTGCACCACGTAGAACGGTTTACGAGCCATGCACTGATGCTTGCCGATATCGCGTGCGCCAGCTGTCGCAACCACGTCCTTTATTAAAATCAAAGTTCATGGCTGCTGCTCGAGCGACACTCCCCCCCCCCCCCCCCCTTTTCCCCGCGTCTTTTCATGCTCGTTCAAGACAGGCGCCGTGTGTCCTCTCTGCTTCAGCATTTGACGGCAATTCTAACACGAGGAGGGATGCTAACGCGTGCCCCCTCTGATTGACGAAGATAGGCCGTCTCGTTTAATCTCAGCTTGAGTAGCGCTCATCACCCCATCTTGCGCAATTTTATGCGCGGGTCGAATGTACAATGCACGGCGAATGGTACCAACTTGTACTTTACGTGGAACATTGCGGCGACGGCGAAAACCTGTTGAATGCCCATATAATTTCTATCGTAATAAAAAAAGTTTCACTTAATTTTCTAGTAATGAAGCGCTGAGCACACCTAAATTTCCTCCTGGTTCTCATGTTGGCTGTGGCACTTCAATGGCTGAAGTTAAGGTTTTTACATTTATTTTTATAGAGCCCTATGGGTTTAGTATGAAAATAACATTTATCAGATAGTAGCTCATCTCTAGTCGTGAATTGCTGTTCATGTTCGATGCGGTGTTTTAATCACATTTTGAACATTGCAACATTTTGACATTTATTTTTTTTTTTTCATTCGTTTGAGGTGTAGTAGCTGTCCAGAACACCATTTATGTTTTTTTTTTTTCTTTTTGCTGCGCTTTCACCTTCGATGTTGTAAGGTTTAATATGTATGAATTTTGGGTAAGTGTGGTCGCTTGATCACCATTGCATGCTTAGTAAAAGCCACTGAGATGTTATGTGTTTACCAGAAAGCGAAAATTCTAATTAACAGTGATGTGTGACTCGAGAAATCTGCTCCAAAACACACCTTTTGCTGCTCCAAAAGCGCATTATTCCTGCTCTCAAAGCTGCTCCAAAAGACTGAAGCCCGCTTCCACCCCTGTTAATCTGGCAGATATCTTGAACTCTGGCAGGCAGTCTCATTTAGTCCGGCGGAGGGGAGGGGGTAGGGAGAAGGCTGAAATGTCGTTTTTTTTTTACAGTTTTACTTTATGTGTGAGCAAGGTGATTCTGGAAAAAAAAAGTTCTGGTTTTTATTTTTCTATATAATCACTGTAGACTTAAAGTTTCATGAATTCTGCAGTTTGTAAGAAAGTTATTTCTTTTCTTTCTTTCCAGATAAATACAACTGCACAGACCCTTTCGCAAATGCAACAGATCATATTCAGCACTTTGCGTGCACAACTAATAAGACATACAATTTTTTGTTTAAATCAAATGGAACAGGCTTGTACCTTGACATGAAGGTAACAATGTTCTTGGGAGATACTTTCACCTTGAGCAGTGGAACTGGAAATAAGTCTAGAAACATCACAAGCCTGAAAGGAGAGCAGCATTCATGTGAGTAATTATAGAATCCATCAATTTTTTGTTGGGTAGGTTAATCACTTCTTAGCTTCTCCAGCTTCACCATAATGAAAATATTTTTTTCACAAATGCTTCATGCCTGTTGTGCTTTAACCCTTTTACTCCCATTGATGAGTATAGTCCTCATATTTTCTACCGAAATGACCGATGATGACTATATACGTCATCAACCAAAATAGGTGCCACATGGAATCAATGATGACTACACTCGTCATAGTTGTGTTTCTTGATGCTAGATGGCCAAATTTTTTTGTCCATGTTGTGCCATTTGTGTCTTGGCTTTCATTGTATTGCTGTGCAGTGAAGCCATATTCCAGTTATTTTTTTTTTTTGCAATCATTAAAATAAAGGAACGTATTGAATTGAAAGAATGGTACCAATTTATTCAGGCAAAAGCTCTTCAAACTGAGTTAAAAAATATTTTCAATAAATTTGTTAGATTGTTTACTTTATGGTAGCAAAAGGGTTTAGTGTATAACATTATTTTAAAGGGGTACTGACACCATTTTTTGATGGCGAGGAAGAAAGTTTAAGTGGAAAGACAGGGAGGTTAGCCAGTTCTTAGACCAGCTGGCTACCCTGTGCTGGGGAAAGGGGTGAGGAGAATGAAAGATGTTAAAAAGAAATGTTGCGAAGAGAGGGAGAAATAACAAAAAAAAAAATTGCGACAGAGGAAAGGCAACATCAAACAGTATAGGACACTAACGTCTGTCTCTGAGGCCAGTTGTCCGCAAAAAGCGCAGCAAAGCTTTCAAAGTCTTCTGGGCTGAGGATGGGCTCGGCCAATGACCCAGAGTTTACTGTCGTACAAATGTCCTGTATGCAGAGACAGCTCCTAGCAAATGTGAAATTTGAGGAAATTCTAATAAGGTATTCTATTTTGACTAAAGGCAATTATATCATAGTGTACCTACGGACGTTGACACTAGCCTAACATCAGGCTACAGTGCTAGTTCTGGCGAGTTCACACAGCTGTCTGACTAGTTGTGATGATATCAGGCACCACAAATTCCAAAATGGCCGCTTGTACGTCACCAACGGAGCTGTGGTGCTGTACGGCTGTAGAAATGTTACAGTATACCTTGTGCGAGCACGCGAAAAGACCCCGTTGTGACATCACGGTACAGTAGTAACGAAAACTAGTCATACAGTCATACTGTACTTACTTTCCTGAGGTGCATTCACATTTAGCAGTACATTTTTTAGGCTGTTGAGGGCTTGGGCTTTTTTTTTTCTATGTTATGCTAAGAAATGAAACCTGAAAGTTTTTGAGTCTGTACCTCTTTTAGAAGAAATTAGAAAGAAGTCAAATAAATATTGTGTTGCAGTTAAACCAAAAACAAACTGTTTCTGCTGTTGCGGATGCTGCTCTTTAGGCCGTGCTAAGCACAACTGTTTATGCAAAAAATAATCTGTATTTCGAAAGCATGGGAGCTGATACAGATTTATTATCTGTGCCACAAACTAGTTGCTTTAACCCTTTGAGTGTTGAACTTTTCTACAAAGAACTTTTGCAGATGGTCAGATTACTCTATTGCAGTTTTTGAATGTACAGAATGTGTTTGGGAATTATATTTTGGTGTCAGTATCACTCACAACTGCATAGTGTTGATTAGTATTCCACAGAATGGCATTGCTTGAAACACTGGTCTGTGCAAACTGCCTTATCACTGTCTGCACATGTAAAACCTGTGTTTGTTCTTCGCTTGCATTGACGAATTTTGTTGGCACATACATACGGCATCTTGTGCGTGTGTGGCTGCCTTGGGCAGAGTAAACTTGTTAATTAAGGAGTATGAGAATAACCATGAGTGACATTGATAAACAAGCTTAGAGTAGTGCCAATAAAAGTGGAAATCAACTTCCACCACCCCTTCAAGGAAGTGTTGATAATGATAAAATCAAATTTTGCGCGCCTTTGTTGTGATCTTGGGTGAAGCCAAAATTTGAAAGGGCGTTGCCCATCAGTGCCAACTCCATGATGCGCTGATGCTAGAAATCAGTTTTGTTTATCTCCGCAAGAAGATAGCACAATCATTTCTAATGCTATTCGTAAGTCCTTGGAGGTGGCAGCAGCTCCCAGTGAGCATGCATTGCGGTCATTACGACACAAGATTTCAAGCAGAGATTTGAAAATGTACTTGTACGGCAATGACACTGTGAGACAGAAAACCGCCGTCGTTTGCGTACGGCACAAGCCCTTAAACAGAGTATTACACTCCCATGTGCATTGGTATCCTTGTACACCATTAAAATTTTGCACCGCCGCGGAGGTTTAGTGGCAAAGGTACTCTGCTGCTGACCCAGAGGTCGTGGGATCGAATCTCAGCTGCGGCGGCTGCATTTCCAATGGAGGCTGAAATGGTGTAGGCGCCATAATCTTACGATGGTTTTGGGACGTTAAACCCCACATATCAATCAAATCATCATTGAAATTTTGACAATATGTTTTCAAGGCCCTTGGGAGACCTGTAATTGTGACCTTTAAAGAGTTAAGAGATAAATGAGCTGAAAGGTGGCAGTGTGTGTGTAATTGTGACCTTTAAAGAGTTAAGAGATAAATGAGCTGAAAGGTGGCAGAGTGTGAACAAGGAATAAGAAATCGCAAAGCTCACATGAGTACGCTTGACGGTTTGAGCTTTACCCACTCTATACCTCCGAGATCACACATAGCAGGTTGTGCGCAGTCTCGGAAGTCGTTACACAGTGCGCCCGGCTGCACGCACGCTATCTGGAAATAGGGGCAAAAACCGCGGAGTGGTTCATATCTGCTCCAACAGGTTCCGCCACCCTACCACTTCTTACGTGCATTCTACAGCCCATGATAGCCAATCAAATCAGCAGCATGGTGACGACAGGTGGCCAGAGTATGTCACTTTGTTAATGTCACATATAAAGAACACATTTGGCCGTGCACGTTAAAAGTGGCAAAGGTGGTCGATTTTAGCGGTTAATATGGCTTTCTTGGCTGATGCCTTCGTCATTCATTCTTGGCTTGCACCATGCTTGGGCAAACTTTGCATAGTTCTTGCTGCGTCCGCCTCGCCAAGCATTGTACGGGTCTGCTTTAAAGCAGTTTCATGGGCCACGTAGGCGAGCTCCAATCATTGTTGACGATTGTGCTTTTAATCCGTAGTTTGCCAAGACTTGCAGTGACTGGCTTCTTCGGTTGTGCACACCCTCTTCAGTCAAGCCATGGCTATAGTTAAACATAATCGAGCGCACCTACATTTATGGACCTATGGGTATATGGAGTTGTTAATCGAAAGTACCGACTTCAAAGCTGTCGTGATGCGGCTATACTAGCTACAACAGAGCTATGCATTGGCTATGCCAGCTGCCACGCGGCTATGCTGCGCCACACCAGCCGCTGCAATGTTGCGGAACTCGGCCCGGCAGCTGCGAGGACTGTCTTCATCGGCGGGGCATAGCTTGGCGGCTGCTGCTCCTCGGCACATGCGTGGGTAAGCGAGGTTAATCACAGGTTGTGGGCAGCTGCAACTTAGTTGTTGCTAGGCAATGGGGTTTCTGCTAGGCAATGGCATGGAGGGCTTTTACACACTTTGTTACACACTTCGAGTGCTTTTTTACCTTCGTGTTAACAAGAGCACTGAAAGCTACTCAGGCAGGGGGATGACAAAGGGGTAAGAAGATTCATCCCTTCATCAGTGCCTCATGACCTTAAGTACTTTCATTTCTTGTTTTTTTTTATATGTGCAGCTTACTTGCAGTGTGATCACGAGCACGTAGCAACATCTTGTGACGGCCATGGTAACTACGTAGTAAAACAGCCGATTGCCGTAGACATGGGTATTGGCCTCGAGGACATAACATGACACCTCCTACATTGTGACGATACTCATAAGATGCCAGGTTGTGTTGTGTTGTCTGTTAGAGCCCTGCATTTCCGCCACGCATTCCTGTTGTGGCTGCTTGCATACTTCCCTGTTGCCTTGAAGTTCATTACTTATAAAACCAGTATGACCTGGTGATGCGTGCAAGCAAACCACGACTGTGCTTCCGCTTGTGTTTCAAGTAGCATGCTACAATTGTTACTTAAAGCCATTAGAGCTGACGCCATGGAGGACACTACAAGTGATGTCACGAAAGCTAACCTGCCAATCCGTTATAAAATACTTGAACTATTGAATACTTAAAATATAATGAACTACTTAACTTGTAACCACGAAGGAAACAAGCCGACGAACAGTGATAGATTCTACATGTGCGTTGCAGATGCATTATTGTCAATGGACACATGAGAATGCTCAGCTAAGTGTATCACCACACATGCCTAGAAGAGCTGGTGGAATATTTAAAACAAAAGACTGATTTCTCTTCCACAGCTCTTCTTAGTTGGGCTCCAATCTAATGGATGATTATCACTGTCTTTTTCTTTTTTCACTACTGATACGTTCACTTTTCACCTTGGTGTACACTTGTCATCAACTATGATGTTCCGTACTATGCCGAAGAATTCTCGTTCAGAGACATGACAGTTCCCTATTTCGGACATTTTTTTCTGCAAACATTGACAAAATTACCACCATATTTCGCTACACTATAGTACTAATTTCTGTCCAAATTCCCGTCATATTTCCCTACACCGCAGTACTAATTTCTGCCCCCTCCACGCACACACATACTAAAATTACACTTGTCTCACATACTGGTGACATTTGAAATCATGACTAGCCCTTTCACTGCAGCGCAACAAAAGCATTAATTTATTAATTCATATACTGTTAGTGCACTGCACATTGTGGTCTTCAAGTCTAACACCAATAGTGAACTAGAAATATATGCAGCCATAATATCTCCAGCTGGCCAAATTAAGCTTCACGTATTGAGAAGTGCTTGTCGCGAGCGCCAAAATTTCTCCGGAACGTCGCATTCCACAACTATGCTGCAAGGCATGCAGCAAGGCTAGCAGAAGTATCCTATTTGTGACATCAAAATGATCGCACTGCCAG